TTTGAAAGATTATTATAAGAAGCCACAATAATTTATAAAGAAGATGATTAGATCACTGCTTCTCATTGGATCACCACAAAAGTTTTAGCATCAGACTTCAAACTTACAAAATCCGTACCACGAATAAACATTCATACAACTGTTCTATGAGTCAAGCTGAGCTGCCTGAGCATACCAGATGCCCTAGATCTTCACATCCTTTGGAGTCTTAGCCCCCCAAGTCAGTGTCTGATGGCTGAAGACTCTCAAAAACTCCAATGACTTCTCCGGTCTCAGGTTTGCTCTTGGTAACACTAAGGATGATCTTCTCTGATAAGATGATGAAGCATTCTTGATGTTCTCCTTGGTTAACTCCTCCTCATCTCCTCTTCCTCCTGCAGGCAATGCAACAGCATTGTCATAGCCGGTTGAGCCACCCCTTCCCTTTGGGTCCAGGAAAGACGATCCACGGTAGGATGGAACCAAGAACTCTCCTCCAAAACTCTCTGGCCTGCCTGATGCCACCGACTGCTTGATGGTAAAGAGGAAGGGGACACGCTCACCACCAGGCAGCTGAACGGTGACAGCAGCATAGCCAATGCCATCTTTCTCCTCAAACTTGATTGTTCAATCAGGAGAAATTTCGAAAGGTCCCTCAATCTAATCAAGGATGTATGTCAATCGAGTCATAAGCTTGGTTTTCTGGAAATCCGGAGGGGCATTCTTGCTGACACCCTCAGCCTTGACTGTGAAAGGAGTGGGTTCTGAACAGAACTTCTTTGCGTAGTATTTTCCAGGCTTGAAGGCAAAAGTATCAACACCGCTGTCCCAGTTCCGTAGACAAAATATAGAAATGAATCATTATATTAAAATACTTAAATGCCACATGTATCAAAAACAAAACTAAAGCATCTCGTAATCAAAATTTAAAATTTTTCAACTAAATATTTATGATTAGTAAACTATTAAGACTACTTCTATTACATAGTTTTAAAAATTTTAGAATGATATTTTTTTAAAGTTTAGTTAGAAAAATCAAAATATTATTTTAAGAACAAATTAAAATTTTAAAATTTTAAGAATATGATCGAATATTAGTTTTGAGAAATAGAATTGTAGGTAAATTAAAAATTTAGAATTAAAGTTA